CGACCAAAACTTACAAAATCAGTCGCAAAAGCCTAAAGAAAAGCAACATCGATTCTACAAAAACACATGCAATCAGAAAAATATACAAAATAAGAGGTTTTCTACTCCAAATTACCTGAAATCAGACAAAATAACCGAAAATGTATCTTGTTTTGTCGTCAATTTCAGCAATTTTGGTTGAACTTAGGAAAAAATTGTAGAGAGAGAGAGAGAGAGAGAGAGAGAGAGAGAGAGAGATATAGAGAAAGAGAGAGAAAACTCGGTTTTCTATACGAAAAATAACGGATACAAAAAAAACTGACATTAATTGAAACTATTTGGGCCAAAAATGACATTTGAGCCTTTTTTTAGTAGATATTTTGTTTTGGGCTATTTTTTATTAGGAAAGTTTGTAGAGTGACATAGCTGGTAATTTCCCTAGTTTTATTAATATGAAATTATAGATAACAAAAATTGATGCATATAAATTATTATCAAATCAGATATATGCAACTATACAACAGTTTACACTATTAATGAACGAAATTACATAACCAAATTAACAGGCATGCACAGTTTCGCAAGAATTTTGTACCACTGAAAAATGTCAGCTCCTTCATACTTGTCCTCACGAATCAAAAGAAGTTACATCATAGTACATAGATTAAATAAAAAGAGTTCCATGTAAAACAAACATGTGCTATTATTTCAGTAGACATTTCAGTTTCTAGAAGGAAATTCCCTTAAACCAACATATCTTGGGTCATCTCCATCTTAAGATTCTGCGGAAGGTTCACGTTATAATTCATCAGGACATCTAATAAAGACATCATATAAGTCCGATTTAATTTTGAGTAAAAATGATGATAAATTAATGTTGTAGATCATTAAACATAGTTGTAACACTAACCATTGTTCTTCCTGCAATACATAGTACATTCTTTTCCTGCTACAACTTCAAATTGACCTAGCGAAATGGGAGTAGCCTAAACCGTGAAAACGGAATTGTAGGAGAGCAATACGAGCATCGTGCTGCTTAGCAGCTCGAATGCTGCAACCAGAGAGACCTACAGTTGCAAAATAATCAATTTTTTATGGAATGAGAGGACGCAGTCCAGGCAATCTACCCATTTTAATACGCCGCAAAAGCAAGATTCTTTTGGAATGAAACTTACCTGGTGCATAGGAATATGAGTAGTCGACTTTAGGGATGAGATTCTAATAGTTTCACTAAGACTGATGCATACAACCAGGCTGAAATGGGTCCTCTACGTCCAACCACTAATTCCTTCCTTCGAGTGGTTTGCCTGCTGAATTATTATGTCATTACCCTAGAGAGATGAATTCCCCACGCCACCAGTAAAATAGATTTATCAAGTGTATCTTCAATCAGTGGAAGCCTAACTTTTCGGTCCCTCTGCAAACGCTAGGACAACCTTACATATTTCAGAACCAAGGAGACTTAAGTTAGATGCATAGGTTATGCGTGACCTTGGAAATCAAGGTTGTATGGGCAAGAGAAACATTCATCTTCCATTTTGTGTGCTACAAGTTCAACCATGGAGAAGCAAATTTACCTGAAGTAGAAATTATATGACTTACTTACAACTCTGCTGGGCCTGACATCACTTTATTGTGAGGGCCTGCATCTATTCTTTCTCTTGACAGTTTTACTTTCCACCTCCATTTTTGTGAGTAGTGCCTCATCTTTTTTGTCTGGTTTTTCTGGCAAAGCAACCTGCAGATAAAAGAGCAAAGATGAACCACCAATATTTGGATGGAGAGCTTAGTAAGAAAGAAACATAAAAGGCACCACCGCTTGTAATAGAACACTGTAGATAGAGAAGAAAGCTGAAAAGTTTGACGAAACTGTATTATCAATGTGTAAGAAACCAAAAGAAGTCCGAGCTTATAACATTCCATTACTAAGAAGCACCATAACAGAACTATCGAGCCAAAGGCATAGCAGATGTGTTAATATCATTTGTACATTTTCAATTTTCTGCATCGATACAACTATTTTTGATTCTCTCTCACTGTAACACTTAAATATTTTTAAGATAAAAACTTATAAAGAACCCAGCAATCGAGGTGGACAAAGTTGAGCTAATATGAAATATTTAGGTCCATCAAAGCAAACACAAAGAGCGCAAAAAATCAGCATGCCACGTTGCCAAAAAAGTGAACAAGCAATCCAATTATTTTTCTGTTTTGTCTTGGTGGAAATAATCAACTCAAATTGATTAAATCAAGAATTGCAGCTCAAAATAGCAGTTGGTAGTTAAGCAGCATATGACATAGCAACATATGGCATCTAAACACCACATCAGCACGGAGATAAATTAGGGACCAGACTTGCACGAATCAATGTTGGTAGTTTCAACAATTTGACAATATTCTAAAATTTAACTAAATTAGAAACTGTCACGACCCTAAAACTGACCCGGTCGTGATGGCGCCTAACGTGAAATTAGGTCAGCCGACACAAACCCCAAAACCAACCAGAAATTCATAATAAGTCATTTTAAGCCATTAATTAGCTAAAATCCCATAATATAAGCTAGAATAAGCAGTGCGAAAATAACAAATGTCCGACATCGGGGTGTCACCAGTCATGAGCAACTACAACTCGTCTAGGAACAAGAAAAGACAACATAGTCCGAAAATAAAATACTAAGACAATCTAAATAAGATAGGAAGGAGAAGCACTGGACTGCGAACGCCAAACAGCTACCTAGTCAACTCCGGAGACCTACTGGAAGACGGATCAGCACTCACTATCGCGCCTCGAGACTCCTGGATCTGCACACAAGGTGCAGGGAGTAATGTGAGTACGCCAACTTAGTAAGTAATAAAAGTAAAAGCAGTTGGGCAGTAAGAAACCGATAATTTCACATCATAGCACCACAACAAAACAACATATGTGCAAATCAGTACAGTATATCAACAAAATTCGTAAAAACAACTCAGTTCAGTAAAACCTTTTTAAAACATCTTTCAATAGTTTCAAACGAGTGATGAAAACAGTGAGTAAAAGGGATGAAAACATAAACAGCCCATCAGGCAAAATATGTACCACAACCGCCCCTCGGGTAAAATATCAACAGAACCAGCCCCTCGGGCTACCTCACAATCACTTGTAATTAGCCCCTCGGGCAACAACATAAAACAATAACAGCCCCTCAGGCAATTTCACATCTCTCACACTGGGTACCCGCGCTCACTAGGGGTGTTCAGACTCCGGAGGGGATCCTACAGCCCAAGCGCTATCACAAGCCATCTCATGGCATAACAAATCAGGCCCTCAGCCTCTCATATATCACAAATCAGTACACATGCTGTGGCGCGCAGCCCGATCCCATAATGATCCTCACAACACAAGCCCTCGGCCTCACTCAGTCAGAAACCTCTCAAGCCACTCGGGCAACAGTAAAACATAATACTCAGCCCAAAATATCATTTAAAATATCAAAACGGAGTAAATACGGCTTAGTCATAAAAACAGTAGAATAAAGCATGACTGAGTACAAATATGAAATCAAAACAGTGAGAAATAGTAGTAAAAGCCCCCTAAGGGTCCAGAACAGTTGGCACGAGGCCCAAATATGGCATTCAACCCAAAACATGGTAATACTTTCCAAAACACAATGATATTGTAACGACCAAGCCGGTTGTTTCATGAGTTACCGCTCCATTTCCCCCATTTCTGCTTCTTATTGCTTTTTAATCGGTATTTTGTGTTACGGGGTTGACTCGGGTTCGGAAAGGTTTTGGTAAGGTTTGAGAAACTTAGTCTCTTTTGAGTGAGTTTAAGTTGGAAAAGTCAATCGGATATTGACTTATGTGAGAAAGGGCTCGGATATAAATTCCGAAGGTTCGGATAGCTTCAGGAGGTGATTTGGGACTTAGGAACGTGATCGAAATGTGTTTTGGAGGTCCGGAGTAGATTTAGGCTTGAATTGGCGAAGTTGGAATTTTGGCATTTTTCGGTTGTTTAGGTGAGATTTTGATATAGGGGTCGGAATGGAATTCCGGGAGTCATAGTAGGTCTGTCGTGTCATTTGGGACGTGTATGCAAAATTTTAGGTCATTCGGACGTGATTTGATAGACTTTTTGATCAAAAGCGGAATTCGGAAGATATTTGGAATCTTAGGCTTGAATCTGATGTGAATTGGTTGATTCGATGTTATTTGAGTTGTTTTGAAGATTGGTATAAGTTTGGATAGTGGTATATGACCTGTTTGTGCTTTTGGTTGAGGTCCCGGGGGCCTCAGGGTGATTTCGGATGGTTGACGGGAGCTTTTGGAGTTGAGTTTGGTAGCTAAAGTTTTATGGTTGCTGTCATAACCGCATCTGCGGTTGGGAGGTCGCAGGTGCGACTCCCGCAGATGCGGAAGCAAGCCGCAAAAGCGGCCAAGAGGTGGTTCAGGCGGAGCCGCAGAAGCGGACATCTTGAGGCATTTGCGATGGCGCAGGTGCGGTCCCAGACCTTTAAGTGAAAACCGCAGGTGCGGTGGGTTAGACCGCAAAAGCGGGACCGCGGAAGTGGGAAATGCCCACAGGTGCGGAATCCCGATATTTTGGAGCCCAATCGTGTATTGGCTTGTGTTATTTCTCGGTTTTCCTTATTCGATCGCATCAGAGAGCGCCAGTATGATGATCCTCATTTGCTTGTCCTTTATGTAGGGGTGTTCATGGTTCGGTTTGGGTCGGTTTTTCCCTAAAAAGAAACCAAACCAAGTAAGTCGGTTTTTCAAATATTGGAACCAAACCAAACCAATTAAGTCGGTTTTTTATCGATTCAGTTTTTTCGGTTATTTATCGGAATTTTTCTTAAATATGAGACATACACTACCAAACACATATTCCGGCGACTACATTTTCAATGTAACACTATCAGATTAATTGCTCTTTGAGAAATCTATCATTTACCGAGATATATTGATAATAATTGAATCAAATGGTGATGAATAATTTAAGTACTAAATTAAAAATCGAATATTTTTACATGAAATAAATTCTTGTATTTAGCAAAAGAAAACTACCAATCAAACTAGAATGTAAAAGTAAAGAATTAAATTATTATAATAGCAAAGAACTAGACTAAAAATACAAGTGACTAAGATGTACTATAAAATTTTAGAAACTTTATATAAAAGTATACATATATATAGGTGTAATAATAAATTTAAATAGTTACTTTTATAGTCGGTTTGGTTCGGTTTTTTCGGTTATTTTTTTATTAAAATCAAAACAAATTTGATCATTTTTTAAAATTTAAAACCAAAACCAAACCAAACCTAAAAAGTATCATTTTTTTGGTCGGTTTGGTTCGGTTTTTCGGGTTTTTATGAACACCCCTACCTTCAGGACAGAGTTCAGCACGATGATGACAGAGATGTGACTATTGTTGACGATGGGGTATTGAGGATGCAGGGCCGGATATGCGTGTCCAATGTAGATGGGCTTCTGGAGTTGATTCTGGAGGAGGCCCATAGCTCGTGGTATTCCATTCATCCGGATGCCGCGAAGATGTATCAGGATCTGAGACAGCATTATTGGTGGAGGAGAATGAAGAAGGACATTGTGAGATTTGTAGCTTAGTGTCTCAATTGTCAGCAGGTAAAATATGAGCATCAGAGATCGGGTGGCTTGCTTCAGCAGATGGATATTTCAGAGTGGAAGTGGGAGCGGATCACTATGGATTTTGTAGTTGGATTCCCACGAACCTTGAAGAAGTTCGATGCCATTTGAGAGATTGTGGATCCGTTGACCAAGTCCGTGTACTTCATTCCTATATGTACTACCTATTCTTCAGAGCGGTTGGCAAAGATCTATATCCGGGAGATTGTTCGTTTGCATGGTGTTCCGGTTTTCATCATTTCAGATAGAGGTACTCAGTTTACTTCGCAGTTTTGGAGAGTTGTGCAGAGAGAGTTGGGTACTCAGGTTGAGTTGAGCACAGCTTTTCACCCTCAGACGGATGGGCAGTCCGAGCGCACTATTCAGTTATTGGAGGACATGTTGCGTGCTTGTATCATTGATTTTGGAGGGTCATGGGATCAGTTTCTACCGCTCGCAGAGTTTGCTTATAACAACAGTTACCAGTCGAGTATTTAGATAGCTCTATATGAGGTTTTGTATGGGAGGCGGTGTAGATCTCCAGTTGGTTGGTTGGTTTGAGCCGGATGAGGCTAGGCTATTGGGTACAGACTTGGTGCAGGATGTTTTAGACAAGGTGAAGGTGATTCAGGAGAGGCTTCGTATAGCGCAGTCGAGACAGAAAAGTTATGCTGATAGGAAGGTTCGGGATGTGTCCAACATGATCAGTGAGAAGGTTCTGTTGAAGGTTTCACCCATGAAGGGTGTTATGAGATTTGGGAAGATAGGTAAATTGAGTCCTCGGTTCATTGGGCCTTTTGAGGTGCTTCGGAGGATTGGGGAGGTGGCTTATCAGCTTGCCTTGCCACCCAGCTTATCGAGTGTGCATCCGGTATTTCATGTTTCTATGCTCCGGAAGTATATTGGCGATCCATCTCATGTTTTGGATTTCAGCACGGTTCAGTTAGATGATGATTTGACTTATGATGTGGAGCCAGTAGCTATTTTGGAGCGTCAGGTTCGAAAGTTGAGGTCAAAGGATATCAGTGGAGAGGTCGGCCCATGGAGAAGGCTACCTGGGAGACCGAGCGGGAGATGCGGAGCAGATATCCTTACCTATTTGAGGCTTCAGGTATGTTTTTTGACTCGTTCGAGGACGAACGTTTGTTTAAGAGGGGGAGGATGTAACGACCCGGCCGGTCGTTTCATGAGTTACTGCTCTGTTTCCCCTATTTCTGCTTCTTATTGCTTTGTTTATCCGTATTTTTTGTTACCGAGTTGGTTGGATCGGGTTCGGAAAGGTTTGAGACACTTAGTCTCTTTTGAGTGAGTTTAAATTGGAAAAGTCAACCGGATGTTGACTTATGTGAGAAAGGCTCAGATGTGAATTCCAATGGTTCGGATAGCTTCGGGAGGTGATTTGGGACTTAAGAGCGTGATCAGAATGTGTTTTGGAGGTCCGAAGTAGATTTAGGCTTGAATTGGCGAAGTTGGAATTTTGGCGTTTTCCGGTTGTTAGGTGAGATTTTGATATAGCGGTCGGAATGGAATTCCGGGAGTTGCAGTAGGTCCGTCGTGTCATTTGGAAAGTGTGTGCAAAATTTTAGGTCATTCGAACGTGTTTTGATAGACTTTTTGATCAAAAGCGGAATTCGGAAGATATTTGGAATCTTAGGCTTGAATCCGATGTGAATTTGTTGATTCGTTGTTGCTTGAGGTGATTTGAATATTGGTATAAGTTTGGATAGTGGTATATGACCTGTTTGTGCTTTTGGTTGAGGTCCCGAGGACCTCGGGGTGATTTCGGATGATTGACGGGAGGTTTTGGAGTTGAGTTTGGCAGCTGAAGTTTTATGGTTGCTGTCATAACCGCATCTACGGTTGGGAGGTCGCAAGTGTGACTCCCGCAGATGCGGAAGCAAGCCGCAAAAGCGGCCAAGAGGTGAGTAAGGCGGAGCCACAGAAGCGGACATCTGGACTCATCTGCGATGGCGCAAGTGCGAGAGAGTGACCGCAGGTGCGGTGGGTTAGACCGCAGAAGCGAGACCGCGGAAGTAGGAAATGCCCGCAGGTGAGGAATCCCTGGGTCAGGAGGTATATATTTCACCCTTCGCGATTTTTGGCCATTTCTCTCAATATTTCATTCCGGGTGAAGCTTTTGGGAGCCATTTCAAGGGAGATTTTCAGAGGGATTCATTGAGGTAAGGTCCTTGGTTCCTAAGCTCGTTATTATGGTGATTTTTATCGTTGTTAGTATGAAATTTAAGGGAAAATCAGTGGTAAATTTGGGGATTAAGGCTTGGTTAATTGGAAAGCTTTGAGTGGTGATTTGAGGGGTCATTTGAGGTCCGATTTTGGTACTCTTGATATGCATGAACTCGTGGCGGAATAAGGGTTCTATTGATGTAAAATTTGTTGAATTCCGAGACGTGGGCTCGGGGTCGGGTTTTGACTAATTTCGGGTTTTGTGTTGTAATTTGATTATTTTTGCATGGGCTTCGTTCCCTTAGCATATTTTAACGTCATGATTCTGATTTTGGATAGATTCGATGCGAGTTGAGGCCGATTCGAGAGGCAAAGGCATCGCGAGCTAGAGCTTGGACCGGATAGAGGTGAGTAATGATTGTAAATGTTATCCTGAGGGTATGAAACCTCGGATTTCACATCGTTGTGCTACTTTGAGGTGACGCACACGCTAGATGACGAGCGTGGGGTCGTGCACCGTTGGGGATTGTGACTTAGTACGTCTCGTATGATTGTTTTATCGCGTATTAGATTGAAAATTATTTGTTATCACCACGTTTTGGGCTGAATGCCATATTTGGGCCTCGTGCTAACTGTTTTGGACCCTTAGGGGATTTTTACTACTATTCCTCAGTGTTTTGACTTCATATTTGTACTCAGTTATGCTGTATTCTACTGTTTTCATAACTAAATCATATTTACTCTATTTGACATCTTAAATGATATTTTGGGTTGAGCATCATATTTTACTGTGCCAGAGTAGCTTTTAGAGATTTCTGACTGAGTAGGGCCGAGGGCCTGTGTTATGAGGTTATTATGGGATCGGCTGCGCTCCGCAGCGGTATTGTGCTGATTCATGATTATGAGGTGGAGGGCCTATTTGTGATGCCACAAGGTGGCTTGATATGAGGCTGAGAGTCTATTTAATTATGCAACAAGATGGCTTGATATTGCTCTTGGGCCGTAAGGGGCCCCTCCCGGAGTTTGTACACCCCCCAGTGAGCGTGGTTACCCAGTGTGAGATGTGATATAGCCCGAGGGGCTGATGTGTTCTATGTTATTGCCCGAGGGACCGATACGAGTGATTGTGAGATAGCCCGAGGAGCTGGTTCTGTTGGTATTTTGCCCGAGGGGCTGATTTATGTTTCATCTTTTCTCCCTATTTTCATTTACTCATTTGCACTGCTAAAAGATGTTTTAAAGAGATTTTTACTGAACTCAGGTGTTTTACGAGCCTTTTACTGTTTTATTGCCTTGTACTAATTTTATACTGCCTCGTTGTAGCATTTTGCTGTGTTTTACGTATTTTCTTATCGCTCAGCTGCCTTTACTTTTATTACTCACTAAGTTGGCATACTTACATTACTCCCTGCACCCTGAATGTAGATTCAGGAGCCTCGGGTCATGCTAGCGAGGGCTGATTGCTTCCAACAGGCTGTTCAGAGTTCACTAGGAAGCTGCTCGGCGTTCGCAGCCTAGTGCTTCTCCCTCCTATCATTACTTTCCTTTGTACTAGCTCTGTAATAGACTATGTAGTCTTTTTTCATACTCTTAGTCGGATGTTTAAATGCTTATGACTGGTGACACCCCAAGGTCGGGATGTGTTTGTTTCTGCATTTGTTCTATTTCACTTTATTTTGGTATAATATCTTATTAATGACTTAATTATGAATTATTATAACTGTTAATTAGTTTGGGGGTTTGTGTCGGTTGGCCTTGTTTCACGATAGGCACCATCATGACCGAGTCTAGTTAGGGTCGTGACAGATATCAAACATTTTTCAAATAAATACGCGACTTGACAATCGTACGGGATGGACCAAGTCACAATCCCCAACGGTGCATGACCCCATGCTCGTCATTTAGCATGTGCGTCATTTTAAAATAGCACAACGATGTGAAATTCGGGGTTTCATACCCTCAGGACAACATTTACAATCATTACTTACCTCAATCCGGTCCAAACTCTGGCCCGCGATGCCTTTGCCCCTCGAATTGGCCTCCAATTGCTCCAAATCTAACCAAAATCAGATTCATACCATCAAAATATGCTAAAGGAACAAAGCCCACTCGAAAATAACCAAGTTACATAAAAAATGCCAAAATTGGCCAAACCCGACCCCCTGGCCCTCGTCTCGAATTCCGACAAAAATCACAAAACTATAATCCTTACATCAAAATCTGACCACAAACGACCTCTCAAATCCCTAAATCAAAGTTTCCAATTTCAAGCCCTAATTCCCCAATTTTAGGCTATAAATCCCATAAATTTTATGTCTAATTAGGTAGAAATCACCATAGAATCAAGTATTGAGTTCAAAAATCTTACCTCCAAGTGTTTCCCTTCGATTCCCTCTTTAATCCCTCTCAAAAAGCTTCAAAATCGCTCAACAATGGTGGAAAATAGACCAAAAATCGTGAAGGCAACTATTTAAACATTCTGCCCAGATGACATTTCCTTCTTCGCGAACGCGGTCAAAGCCTCGCGTTCGCGAAGCACAAAAATCCACTGACCAATTATTCCTCCTTCGCGAACGCGACATACTCCACGCGAACGTGATGCTTTAACCGTCCAAGCCTTCGCAAACGCGACTATACCTATACGAACGCTTCCTTCACATATATACTTACCCATTCACCCTGGGCCCTGATAATCTGTCAAATCTTCTCCCTTGGAAATCGACCCGGTTATTCTTGACTTCTGCGCCCGATATTAGGTGACCCTCAGTCACATCTACCCATCCTTTTGGAGGATAGTGTTAATGCTTAGGCATTTCACCGAAGGGGTTAAAGGTAAAGTTTTCACCCTTGACCATTTGATCAGACCGTACCGCCCTCGGCTGTATCGAGGCTTAATCAAGCTCCGCCACCGATCCAAAAAGTCTTTTTTCACGAGCGTTCCTGGGGTCCCAACTGCTCCAATTACTTTACGCAAACGCAGGACCTACTTCGCGTTCGCGATACACACTCAGCCTCACCCTTCGCGAACGCGGAACCAACATCGCGAATGCGAAGGGCAATTCTCTTGCCTCACTTCACATCCCTTCACAAACGCGAGATCCCTCTCGCGAACGCGAAGAACAAAACTCTGCAACAGAAACAGCAGAAAATCTACAACTTCCCAAAACAAGAATTTGATCCATTAACCACCCGAAACTCACCCGAGGCTCTCGGGACCTCAACCAAACATGCCAATACATCCCATAACAACATTCAAACTTAGTCGATCCCTCTAATCACTCAAAACAACACTAAAATATCAAATCACCCTTGGATTCAAACCTAAGAATTCCAAAACTTCAAAATTCCGCTTTCGATCAAAAAGTCTATCAAACCTTGTCCGAATGACCTGAAATTTTGCACGCACATCCCAAATGACACAACAGACCTACTCTAATTTCTGGAATTCCATTCCGAACCCTATATCAAAATTTCCACTACCAACCGGAAAACGCCAAAATTTCAATTTCGTCAATTCAAGCCTAAATCTACTCCGGACCTCCAAAATACATTTCGATCACGCTCCTAAGTCCCAAATCACCTAACAAAGCTACCCGAACCATCGGAATTCACAACCAAGACCTTTTTCACATAAGTCAACATCCGGTTAACTTTTCCAACTTAAGCTTACTTAAAAGAGACTAAGTGTCTCATTCCTTTCCAAAACTACTCTGAACCCAAACCAACCAACCCAATAACACATAATATAGTTGAATAAGACATAACGAAGTAGAAATGGGGAAAACGGAGCGGTAATTTATGAAATGACCGGCCGGGTCGTTACAGAAACTGGGAGCTATTTACCAAAAGACGTGAAATAAAGGAACGTACAAAAATAGATAACTTTCTAGACTTTATAAAATAGTTGAAGCGCATTAATCTACCAGGCTTCTTCTCTATGACTCAACAATAACACATTGCTCCAGTTGAGCCCCTGCCACAAATGCTTTCTTCAAAACAACCCTAAAGATTTTAAAACAACAAACCAAGCTAGCTCTTATTAGTTTCAACAACCAACCTCAAATATATGGAGAATCATTGACCGTTACAAGACTACTTGTCTCAGAATGGCAAAGCACAATATAGTTTTAAATGGTATATAAACACAGATATTAAAAAGGAAATAAAAAGTATTATTTTCTTTCAAGGTGTTCATTAGTAATGAGAAGATATTATCACACTACTATTCGACAATCTATTTATATTTAAAGAAATTGTCAGCACAGAAAATAATAGGTGAAAGTCACAAAGGATTTCAATCAGATTGATTTTTCCCCCTACAATTAGAGTTGAGCACAAGTAATGTTCCTAAAAATAACTGAATGCTGGAGAAGAATTGATGAAGACAGCAGCTGACCTGATAACACAAGGAAATTTGGATAATTTTTGAGTTAGGGTGTTGATGGATAGAATTGGAAAATTTATGGGGGTTCTTTCTGGATAAATTATGAATTGAAGCTGCAAGATTCCACACCAATACAAGAAGAAAGAAATTATGATCTACAAATAGAATACAACATGCAATAACAAGTTTCTGGAATCATAATATAAAATTCTTAAATTAAAATAAGAGAAAACAAGAAATATTAACTAAAGGGTGAAGAGAGATGTTACAATGGAAGAGGGTCGGGCGGAATTTCTAAGAGAGGAGACGTCAAGCAGATCTCTGTCAACAGAAACTCCTCCATTTGCAAAGACATAAAAACGTCACCACAGATCTGCAATGCGCATAGAAAGTAATCAGGGCAATCAAGAACTGAAGAAGAAACAATAATGGATGAAGGAAGACAACAAGAACAAAGAACTGGGCGAGATGAAGCAAGAGAATTGAGTCGGGGAGAGCGAAAAAAAAGATGGAATTGTGTAATACAATTAATGTGTTGGCAGGAAATAAACCCACGTATGTCAGTGAATGACTAAATTGCCCCCAGCTAGAAATGTAATTACAAAAACAGACATGTCGAAACCTAATATATATATATATATATATATATATATATAAAGTAAAAACATGAGGTATTGAGTTTGGTGGGAGGGAGAGAATAATAAGTTGTCTACTCTAGTTCATGAAACACGAGTTATAGGTGTAAGATAAATTATTGTATACCTCAAAATTAGGTAACAATTAAATTTATACGCGGTTTAGAGGATACATGGTTTAATTCAACACAAATAATTAAAAATAATAGATAAATAAATTAAAGATGAAATAGATTATCAAACCAATTGCAATGTTATGACAAGGCCTTATCTTAAATTGAATAGTGGAACTCGTCTTCGATTTGACCCTCGGTTCAAGCCCGGTTGCAGATGAAGGAAAGAACAAGGGAGTAATGCCTTTAACAATAGCTAGAAGACAAAAGAAAATTTTTATTTCTTTGAATTTCGTGTTACAATGTGTCAAACTAAGAAAAAAAACTTTCTCTTTATATAGTAGGAGAATTTCAGTCCTAGTATAAGTCTAAAAAGGATAAAAATCTTCTTTTTCCGGTAATTGTTGATCCATAATTGATACTGAACGGGATCCGCACCGTAATATCCGATTGAGGGCAAATATTACGGCCCCTATCCGCCATGCATAACTGTTCACCGCGTCTCTCGAGGTCCAAAAGTTGTACTTGGTCCAGCATACGTCACTTTACCATATTCGATTTCAGATATGTCGTTCATCCTCACTAGGTCTTGATATAAGGGATTCCCGGCCTCGATTAGAACTATGTCAAGCCGCTTTCCCCTTCGTTCTTTCATCAAAAAATCGGGAAAAACTTTACCCTCCCTATTTTACCCATACATAGATAGTCCCCTCATTTTCCGAAGAATAGATTTATCGAAGTGACGGGAAGCGATAAATTAACCCCGATTCCTTCTTCCGTATGTTACAACCAAGTTGGAGAGTCAGCGAAACGTCCCATCAGTCGCGTCGTTCTAACTTCGAGCACGTGTCATCCACCGTTTGACCATCCTCGAATACGAAATGTCGCGCATTAATTATCCTTCTTGTATAAAAACTCCAACCTTTTTTTCACTTTTTCACTTTTTGATTCCAAAGCTCTTTGATTTACCATCAAATTCTCCACTTAACTCTATCCTCTTCAAATCTTCATATATTGCTTCTTAGATATTTATATCTTCATGCTTCTTCTTTAACTCTTCAAACTAGACCATTATACCTTCATCCCCATCTTCAAATCTTCATACTTCTCTTTGAATCTTTATATTTTCCAGAATCAGATGGCAAAACTTCCAAATCTGTGCCCCAGCAAACCCCCACTTCAACTACCAACCCGGCCACGGATGCCGAGGTAGCTATTCTCGAGGTTGAATAACCGAGCAACTTCTTCTCTTAACTGTCGTCAATCTTCGGTCCTATTACCGTGAGGGCCGTGATACTTACACATCAAATTAGGATCTCTCTAGGTAGGGTCAGATTGCAATATTCAGGGCCACTTGGTCTCTTTGATGCGCCCTATGGCCGACACAATGCTGGTAGTATCCATGTTGAAGTTGTGCTCCGATAATCTTGGTGCTTCCCTGCTCCTAAATGACTTGTCAAACCCATTATTGTTCATCAAGTCTTGACCACTAGGTCCTCGAGCGCTTCTCTTCTTGCTCCTTGCGGGGTGACGCCCAGATCCATTTCCCCTTTGATTTGCATTGTATGGTTGATATCGATCTCGGACTGATCTTGACTCTTGATCAATAGCTCTTTTAGATCTATCGTCGGTTCTGATGGGGTAAACAGACCTAGAAGGGGCCCTGAGTTGGTCCTCCTCATCCCTGATCTTCGGCTAGTACCTGTTGTGGACGCTGGCCTAGTTTACCGCTGGGTACTCCATCAAATTTTGTTTTAGCTGTTGAGAGGCCAAGGAACTTCAGGGTTAAGCCCCTGAGTGAATGCCTGAATGGCCCAATCATCTGCAACCGGTCGTAGGTCCATCCGTTCCATCTGGAATTTTGACACGAACTCCCTGAGCATCTCGTCATCCCTTTGTTTGACCTTGAAAAGATCTGACTTCTTGGTCTCGACCTTGATAGCCTCGGCATAGGCCTTTACGAAAGGATCTGTAAGCATAGAAAACGAGTCAATGAAATTTAGGGACAAGTTGTGATACCATATTATTGCTCCCTAGGACAAAGTTTCCCCAAACTTTTTCAGCAACACTGACTCGATCCCATCGTTCCCTTTGATTGCGCATGCATATGAGGTCACATACTTGTTTGGATCTGTGGTCCTATTATATTTGGGGATGTCGGGCATACGAAACCTCTTTAGGATCGGCTTTGGTGCCGGCTCGGAGGAAGGGGCTGGGTAAATTTTTTTGAGTCCGGTCCCTTCAATATCAGGGGTGCTCCCAGGATCTGTTCAACCCTGGAGTTGTATGTTTCCACCTTTTTGTCATTAGCCTCAATATTTTTCTCGCCTGACTCTACCCCTTTTGTCAACTCTTCGAGCATCTTCACGACCTCGGAATTTACCCCGGGCTTGACTTCACTCGGTTTCTCGGTAATTTGTTGGTCTCTTCAAGTGCTTTCCCAGGATTGTTCGGGCTCGACCCTGTTGGGTGCGTGGCTTTGATTCTGCAGCTGTGCTATTGTTGCCTGTTGAGCTTGTAGCATTTCGAAAAGCAGCTGTAGGCTCACCCTATCACCTTCAACTTCGAGTGCTTCTCGAGCTGTTGGTCAGGTTCTCCCGCGAATACTGTTTTCCGGATCAGTTGACAAATTAATGTTGATGGCCATTTGCGAGTTACCATCGACCGAGTTGGTGGCCGGGACACTGTTAGGATCGGCAGGAAGTATATCATTACTGGGCACCACATTATTATTTTCTCCGTGATGGCCAGATTCAGCGTCAACGTTCAAGTGAGCCGACTGAGAGTTTGACATTTTTAGGTTGACCTGGAATTAAGATTTCAAAGAACAAGCGTAAAACGGGGTGTGTTATGGAGATTCGCATCAAATCACCACTATTATTCTCAGCCCCACGGTGGCGTCAAACTGTTTACCCCAAAAATGAGTAACAATTAAATTTGTACGCGGTTTAAATAATGTGTGGTTTAATTCAATACGAATAATTAAGAATAACAGATAGATGGATTAAAGACAATAAACGATCAAACCAATTTCAATACGATGACCAAGTCTGATCTTGGATTGAACAGTGGGACTCATCCTCGATTGGACCCTCGGATCAAGCCCGGTCACGGATGGAGAAAAGAACAAGTGAGTAGTGCCTTTAACAGTAGCTAGAAGACAAAATAAAACTTTTAATTGCTTTGAATTGCGTGTTACAATGTGTTAGACTAAAGAAAGACTTCCTCTTTATATAACAGGAGAACTTCAGTCCTAGTATAAATCCAAAAAAGGTAAAAATCTTCTTTTCCCGGTTATTGTTGATCCATAATCGACAGTGCACGCAATTCGCGCCATAATATCCGATTGAGGGTGAGTATTACGGCCCCCTATCTATCATTCATAACCATTCACCACGTCTCCCGAAGTCTAGAAGTTATACTCGGTACAAGGTGTGTTGTCTTACCATGCCCAATGTTGGATATATCATCCATTGTTTTTCCATGCTTGGTGTTTTTGGCCTCGATTTTAACCTCGCGGATCCGTACTTTTCCTTTGTTCTTTCAGCGAAGAACGAGGCGGGCATTGTAAGCACGTGAGTTTTTCCCTATATGAGAATCACTCCCAAAAAAATTCAAATAAAATGATTTTCCTTGGTGTGCAATTTTGTGAGATTTTGTGATATTTTTGGATAATTATTTGTATTTGTCTGTGTTTGTTTATTTGTTAAAATAATAAAAAATACAAAAATATGTCGCATTTTGCATGTAGGATTTAATTCTACAATTGTTAGTAATTAAATTTGTTTTACAAAAAATGAAAATTACAAAAATAGGCATATTTTGCATTTTTAGCATTTAATGTCCAAATATACGATTTTATGCTTAATTATTACTTAATTGTGCTTTAATTGTTATTGGGAGTTAATTTGCGCTTTTATAACTTATTTCAGTTCTTAATAATAATTTAAGTATTTTATAATTTAGTTTAGAAAAATAAAAGAAGAAAAGAGAACAAAAATACAAAAAAAAATCGGAGTGGGCCACTTCTTCAATTTCAAACCGCAGGCCCAAATAATTATCCAACCTTCCCCATGACCCGGTCTACTTCAAACTGGGTCGACCCGGTCCGCACCATTAACCCAAATACCCAACACCCTTCTTCATTTTTTCAAAACACAAAACAAAAACAAAAAA